TTTTATGGCTCCAAGAGTAGTCTCTTATTTTAGGGTTCTTAAAAAAAACTGATTACACAAGTCTACACAAGTTAGTCTGTAATTGCACTTCCAATGCTCCACTCATTCACTCTTTTATCACCTGAGAGGAAGGAAACACGTGATGAGAACAATAAAAAGATAGGAAACAAGTGATGAGAACAAAAACAAGGACATGAAACAAGTAATGAGAACAATAACACCAACAAGAAACACAAACACAAGCATTTTGATTAGACTTGAAACACACAAAAAAACAGAAACAGAGAAACCATAACACAACAAGAAACAGAAACAGAGTACTAATTAAACTTGAACTTAAACAACATAAAGAAATAGAGAGCTCACTGAGCTAGTGCTAATGGTGGACATGCTATAAACCCGTGTGCTAATTGTACACGTATTTACTTGTATGCTCTTTACAATATTAGCAATAACTTGAACTCATTGAGCTAGTGAAATGGTGGACATGCTAGTGCTGATGCTCATTGAAAAAAATAGTACTAGAAACATACTAGTGTCAAATGGCATTCAGTGTAATAATCATACATAAGAAAAAAAGAAGAAAAAAGTATACTTACAAGTCTGTTCTTCCTGCACGATCCTACTTGTCATCTGGGGATAGAGTCAATGATTTCTTATCCTGGAGTTGCACAAAAAAACATCACAGTAATAAACTGGAACTAGTTAGGAAACTTCCTCGTAACATTTGTCACAAGACAAGATGATCATATGGGTAATAACACACATGACAGCAATTCCATACAACAAAATTCATGATTGAACACTATATTCAAGATTAACCAAGTACACCATCAACATGCAAAAAACTACTAGAGCATAGATAATAGGCCATAGGAACAATGCGAGAGAAAGACATAATCAAACCTCCAAGCCTGAGTATCGTTGCAATGTACAAGAGTACAAGAGGCAACCTAAGCTAAGCTCAGATTAAAAGGTTTACCTTGTCAAATACACTATCCAGCTTTGTGACAAGATATATTACTCAAAGTCAAACAGATCATGAGAATTAATTAGAACCAAGCTAGATGATTAAAGGTTAAAACTTTTTTGAGCTGGTTAATGAGGGACATGAGGATTCGAGAGAGAGAGAGAACCTTTCGTGTTCGGAATGACTCGGGTCTGCAGAGAAGAGAGAGAACTCAAGGTTTCAGGTGACTGCAATAAAACAATGAAACAATGAGGAAAATCCCTAAGTTATCTCAACGAGTTCAAACTTAGATCTGAAGCTTGGAGGCGAGAATTGAAAAATTACCTGAGATCTGAAGCTTTCGCCGGGGAACATCGGAGAAGAAGGATGAGAGGAATCGAGAGAGAGACAGAGAGAGAGAGGCAGCTAGTTTTTTTTTGTCGCCTTTTTTTTTAATAAGAAAGAGTATTTATATGTCAAATCATTTTTCTGGTTAGGTTAAAACTCTTTGGTTTAATTTTGGTTTGGTTAAAATTATTTTGGTTAAAACTTTAGGTTAGGTAGACTTCCAAAGAAGTCTACTATAATATTTTTCTTTATTGTTTAAATAGTTTATAATATATAATCTAAAAAATTTCTTTTCATTATACATTTAATAGACTTAGTATATATTTTTTGTTGATAAAATTTTAATTCACATTCTAATTCATAAATAAATAAATTTAATTTTATAATAATTTTTTTTTGTTGTAATCACCAATTATAGTAGACTAAAAGAGACGTCTACTATCAAAGTAGACTTTACCGTAAGTATTGGCGCTAATAGGGAAAAATAGGCTCCAAAAATTCATTTTCGCTTCCCGCTTAGTTAATTTTAATTTTAAAATGTTTTTTTTTTATTTGATAAACACCAATTAATGTAGATTGAAATAGATGTCTACATATAAGTAGACTTTACAGTAAGTCTACTATACCCTAAATATTGGCGCCAATATGGAAAAATAGGCTCCAAAATTCATTTTCACTTTCCGCTTAGTTAATTTTAATTTTAAAATAATTTATTTTGGTAAACACAAATTAACGTAGACTGAAATAGTTGTCTACATATAAGTAGACTTAACTGTAAGTCTACTATACCCTAAACCAGAAATCTCAAACCCTAAACCCCAAATCTCAAACCCTTAACGTTTGATTGATTATAAAAAAAATCTTAGTCATTGTACCAAATATCATATATACAAAATATAAACTACTCAACATTAAATATGCAATTTTGAATCATTAAAAAAAATAATTCTAAATCTAGAATCTAACCCTAAGAATCTAACTCTAAAAACATAACATGTTAGAACCTTTGGTTGCTAAACCATTAACATTGTCAACCACATAGTTCCCAAATCAATATACATTCTTTTAAATTGTTCAATTATATGAAAATTTAATTTATATACCTCATATTAACCTTTAAATTGATGATTTATTAAAAAATTACCAAAAACATTTTTTCTACATTTTTAAAATTAAATTATTTGATTAAATTAAGATGTAGACTAAATAATAAGTCTACATTAGTCTACACAGTAGACGTTAATGTAAGTCTACCTAGTTGTAGACTTCTTTCTTAAAGTGTAGACCTTCGAAAGATAATCGTAAAATATATTTCGCATTTTTTGTTTGTTCATAAGGGTTAAATAGTAGTTTTAACACCCATTTAGGTTGAGTTTGCAATTGATTGAATATGGGGTACACCTTTAGGGTTAAAATGAATATTTGGGTTGGTTTTGGCAATTCCCCCGGGGATGTTTGTAATTTCAATAGTTTTTTGAGTTACTTTTGCATTTGATTAGAGTTGGGATACACATTTGCATTTAAAATCAATTTTTGAGTCATATTTGGCAAATCCTCCTTGATTTAACTCATCTTTACTAAAATAAAATATTGAAAATGTATCTAAGATTATAATTTAATTTATGTATATACATATATCTTTTCTAAAATATATTTAAAATAAATCAAAATGTTTATATTTAACATAAATTAATTTTTTTTAAAACTGTTAGTATGAAAATAATAAAATCTAAAATATTAATAGATTTTTTAAATATAATTTAAGTTTAAAATTTTTATTGATACAGGAAAACATCTAATTAGGTCTTATTCGTCTCAGCTTCCATTGAGGGACTTGGATTGCCGTCTCTCAAGTTTTATGGAGAAATTAAGAATAAGTGTCAATATTCAACTTGTTTTCCTTCAACTTTTAATCTTTCTTCTCTCCTTAAGACATGCATGAACTGTCTGTTCTTGTTCAAAACCAAGAAGACAGAAAAAGGAAAGAATTAGCACAAAACTCAGCTCCAGAGCTGAGGGACGTGAAACGTCGTCATTTAATCTTCAGAGGCCAAGATCTTTGCCTTCTGCAGCGAAGTATCAGAGACTTGTATACAGAAAGAGAACAGAATCTTGGGGTTTTTACTTACGAAGAACTCAGTGAAGCCATTTGAGGTTTAGCAGAAAGATTAGGACCGGTGAAGGTGGATTCAGTATTTCTCTATAAAGAAAAGATTCTCACCATTGGAGATTATGATCCTCCACTTGTCGTTGCCATTAAACTGATCATGAATATGACTAAGCAGGAAGCTGAAACTGAGATATTGTTTGTTGTGTTTAAATGTAATTAATTAATTATAGGAGTTTTGATCTTTTCTTTTCCATGTGTTGTAATGTTAGAGCAGTTAGAATATCCTAGAATATGCTATGTGTAATATCCCTTATAGCTAAGCTTCTCCTATAGTCTAGGATAAAACCCTATATATATATACCTCTTCTCTTTGAGAATATATCGATACAATATATATACTTTCTCATGGCATCAGAATTGTAAGATGTCTATAACTCTCTAACTCTCTAAATTCTTTTTTTTCAAGATTTACGCATCTTTTTCTTTGGATTCTCTCATGATGTCATCTGCAACTTCTGGTTCCCCATCGGGCTTAGTAAGCTCCACAATGATCCTTAACTCAATCGATTCACAAAATCCAGTCTTCTAGCCTGCTGGTTATTCCCTTCCGTGATGGTCCAAATTTGATAATTAAGCTATTATTGATAGGGTACTAGAAGTCAAGCACGTGATCCCTAGGTGGCAAGTAAGGGATCATCAGACCACTTCAACCAAACCGCAAGTATCTCGCATGGAGTCTCACGGCTCATTTGTTTTCTAGTTTTATTAATAAGAGAAGTGGTGTTCCTTGACTATAGGAACCAATCCTAACCAATGCTCCATTTTCCCTTTCTTTGTTTCATGTGTGTTTTGTTATTTATATAAATGAAAAAACTAAATAGTGGTAGTCTTAACTAGTATCAAATCACATGTTTCTAGATTAACAATAGATGATCCTATAACTGGGACCTATCAATTATCTTCTCTTTGTAGCGTTATTAAGCTATATATCTAAAATTTTCGGCCAATTTTTTTCAATATTTTTAGTAGTTCTGTTGTTAACACTTTGAGAGGTGAATAGTCCGAACATGATTAGCAACATAATTAATTTTTTGGTGTTATTATTTATTTAATTAACAGGCCTATGTTTTTCTAATGCTTCCGACCCGAACATTCTGGACAGATATATACAGTCAAAAAGCAGATCAACTTGTTTTAATCGGTAAACCTCTAGTTAGACAAAATTTTGCTGACAATAATAGTATCCATCACTTTTGAGCCTTGGTCTTTTCAGGGGAGGGAGCTTACGGGGGCGCTCATCAAACATGACAATTAACATTAAATTTTAGATACGTGCATTTAATTTTTATTAGATGCATGCATATAAAATATATAGCAACTTAATAAATGTGCATTTAAAGTCTGATTCATTCAGATATCATACCATCATATATGGTATATATTGATTTCCTAAAAATATACATAACTAGAAAATGTCAACTTGGTGATACATATAAATATGTGTGTATATTATGTACACTACCACTACGCTCATTCTTTTTATATTTTCAGACTCCGCTTTTATATTTTGAGAACTCCAATTATCATATGAAAATGACTAAATCCATTTTTTGTGCTGCCCTTATCATCCTTATTCTAGGTTTGTTTGATGTTTTACCAACTTTTAAAGTAATGTATTGTTTCCGCTGCCAAAACAAATGATACTTATATATTTTTTTAAATAATATTTTGTGACAGGGCTGATGGCTAATGAGATCCAAGGAGACAAGTGTGGGGAAGTTTTACCACAAGTAGATTGTGGTACTGGCTCTTGTGGCGCTCTGTGCCGTCAACTAAAGCATGGAGTTCCTCATTGCGTTCGGGCATCTGATGGAAAATTAGTATGCTACTGTGTTTTTGAATGTCCTCCTTGAATTGTTGTTTCATTCTCTAAAACAGTATCTCATTTTCTGAGATAAATGCAAAATGGAATAATACGATATAAAATAAAAAAAATTAAAAATTATCTCTCAAATTTTGTTAGAAATTCTTGTGACATATATGTTGTTTCGAAAATAATTATATTATCGAAAGGCTAATTATTAATAAAAAAAAATTAATATAAGGATGGAGAATACAACAATAAATATGCTCTAAAATAATATTTCCATGGCATAAGTCCTAATTGATCAATAATTAATTACTCTTCTTTCACACGTAAACGTTTAATTCCCGTTACGCGATATCTTCTTCGTCTTCGTCTTCCTTTGTAAAAGATAAGAAGAGACCGTCACGCTTTTTGTCACTTTCCCATCTCCAATTTTTCTCTGTTTTTCTCGGCAAATTAAGAAATAGTGTGAATAGTCAACTTGTTTTCTTTTCACAAAGTTTCAATATTTTTTTCTCTTCTTAAGACATGAACTGTCTGTTCTTGTTCAAATCCAAGAAACCAGAACCGAGAAATCAACAAAAAGACAGAATAAAAGCACAGAAGTCAGCTCCAGAACTGAGGAATCAGAGTGAAACGCGGTCGTTTGATCTCCACAGGCCGAGATCTTTTCCTTCTGCTCGAAGTATCAGAGACTTGGAAACAGAGAGAGAACAGAGTCTTAGGGTTTTCACTTACGAAGAACTCAGTGAAGCCACTTGTGGGTTTAGCAGAAGGCTTAAGATCGGTCAAGGTGGATTCGGTAATGTTTACAAAGGAAAGATTCCCACTACTGGAGATTCTGATCCTCCACTTGTCGTCGCCATCAAGAAACTCAATCCACAAGGTTTACAGGTAATTATAAATTAAAAATTATATACTCACGGTCTTCTCAGAGAGATTCTTTAACTTGTTACTATGTGTTTATATGTAAAGTCTTAAAATTTCCAATGAGTTTTGATTTCTTTCTCTTCTCTGTGTTGTAATGATGTGTATTAGGGTCATAAGCAATGGTTAGCAGAAGTTCAGTTTCTTGGGGTAGTGAATCATGAGAACGTTGTGAAGCTATTAGGTTATTGCTCAGAAGATGGGGAGAACGGGATGGAGAGGCTTTTGGTTTATGAGTACATGTCTAATCGAAGCTTAGAGGAGCATCTCTTCACGCGTGGAGCACGCACATTACCATGGAAACATAGGCTTGAGATCATGCTTGGAGCAGCTGAAGGATTGGCTTATTTACATGAACTTAAGGTACAATCTTTAAACCGAACCAAAAAAACCTGCTTTTAAGACATACTCCTTTTCTTGATCATTTAGGACAGGCACAATCTTGATAATGTCGACATGACCCATGAGTAGACTAGGAATGTGACATTTTGTGAACCTTATTCCTAGGGAGAAAATGTTTGGTTTATTCTGATACATTCATTGTCTGGTTTTAAGTTAATATGTGATTCAGTGGATTATAATGGGTGGTATATCATGTTGGGCAGGTGATATACCGTGACTTCAAATCCTCTAATGTGCTTTTAAATGATGAATTTTGTCCGAAACTATCGGACTTTGGGCTTGCAAGAGAAGGACCTCAGGGCGACAATACTCACGTCACAACTGCAGTAAGTATTGAACTCTTCTTTACCTTCTTGGGTTAATATTGGGTGGTTCACATAGTTTTAAACGATGAATTGTTTGATTCGTTCTTTTTATAGAAAGTTGGAACACAGGGCTATGCAGCTCCTGAATACGTGCAAACAGGACATTTACGGTTAAAGAGCGATGTATATAGCTTCGGTGTTGTGCTCTACGAGATCATAACGGGAAGGCGAACCGTTGAGCGGAACAAGCCGGTCACTGAACGAAGTCTAGTGGAATGGGTCAAAGAGTATCCTGCTGATAGTCGACGCTTTAGCATGATCATTGACCCGCGGCTACGCAATAACTATCCAGCTTCTGGAGCAAAGAGTTTGGCTAAACTGGCTGATCTTTGTCTTAAAAAGAACGATAAAGAGCGGCCAACGATGGAGATTGTACTGGAAAAATTAAAGACGATAATCGAAGAAACTGATAGTAAGAAAAGTAGTGAGGTAAGAAGTAATAGTCGAGGGACAGGACCTGTCAAGGAGAGAGTTTGAGAGGAGTTAGTGTTACAGGATGGTTTTTGACTTCGGAATATTTTTTTTGCATAGTGAATATCTATACAAATTAGTTAGTCAATGCAAATTATATATGAAGGAAAATGAATAGTTGTCGAATAAATGGAAATGGTTTGTTACAAGTTATATGTCTCATCTAACTTCTGTTTCCATGAACAAAAAATATGGTAAGAATCGCTACACTTTCAAATGATGGTTGTATTGGAATTTATTATGAATACTTGCGTAGTTACGTTGGTAACAGCTCATGTGACTACAGCAAAAAAAAACTATTGCTACTTTCACTCAATGTAGTATCAGAACACACACAAAGCTTTGTTTTGCCAAAATATAGAATAAAGAGTAGAAATGTTAATACCTTGTATATATATATTCTCATGGTTGAATATGTAAACCCAGCTTCCATCTCCGATACAGAAGAAGCTAACTCATCATCTTCTTCAATGAAATAATGATTCCTCTCTGAAACTCCATGTTGAGAGAAAGAGAGAGGTTTTTGTGGGTGGAGAATTTGCGAGGAAAGTGTCAGTGCGAGAGGTTTTATAGCAAATAAAATATACTTTTGTTTCTCTCGAGGTTTAATATATGAGTAAACAATTAGGGGCCAGATTTGAGACAGACAATCTGTGAGTGAAAAAACTTTCATTGCTTAGTTCTGATTTCCGAAATGTACAAAAAAATAGAAAACAAATTTTGTTATTTGAGTTTCTTGTTATTTTCTACAAATAGTTTTATTGACACACGGAGTAAATTGAGGGTTAGAAAATATTTGGTCGTGAGAGGAATTTTCGAGAGAGCTTGGTTAAAGTAACAATATTAGTATTCATTTTCGGAAAAAAGTTTCTCACCTATACGAAGTTTACACTAATATGGTGGATACCATCCAATGTATAAAAATGTGTCAAGAACTACACGAAGTATATGTTAGTACATGCCACATGTACGAAGTAAATGATATTATGGTGGCAACATCACAATCAGATTTAATTGTTCTTAAGCTAAATTAATAGGGTCAATCCGTAATTTATGAAACTTAATAAATTTAATTGATTTTAATTATTAAAGTTAATAAAATTAATAAACTTAATAAACATAATATTTTTTAAAACTTAATAAAATTAATAAACTTAATAAACTTAATATTTTTTGTTAAACTTAATAAATTTATTAAACTTATTAAAATTATTAAACTTCATAATTTTAATAAACTTAACAAACTTAATAACTTAACAAACTTAATAACTTATAAAGTTAATAAGTTATTAAACTTAATATACTTAACAAACTTAATAAACTTAATGATTTATTAAGTTTAATAAATCTTATTTAGTTCTTAAAAATTATTATGTTTAATAAGCTAGAATCCTAAAACTAATAAACAAAATAATTTAATAAATTTATTAAGTTTAATAATTTAATAAATTTATTAAATTGTTATGTTTATTAAGTTTGCTAAGTATATTAAGTTTAATAACTTATTAATTTTATAAGTTATTAATTTTGTTAAGTTTATTAAGTTTATGAAGTTTAATAATTTTATTAAGTTTAATAATTTTTTTAAAAAATATTCTGTTTATTTTTTGTTAAACTTAATAAAATTATTAAATTAATAAATTATTAAACATAATAAACATAATATTTTAAAAAAAAACTTAAAAAATTTATTAAACTTAATAAATTATTAAACTTAATAAAATTATTAAAATTCAAAAACTTAATAAACTTAACAAACTTAATAACTTATAAACTTAATAAGTTATTAAACTTAATATACTTAGCAAACTTAATAAACATAATAATTTAATAAATTTATTAAATTATTAAACTTATTAAACTTAATAAATTTATTAAATTATTTTGTTTATTGGTTTTAGGATTCTAGCTTATTAAACATAATAATTTTAAAAAACTTAATAAACTTTATAAACTTAATAAGATTTATTAAACTTAATAAGATGTATTAAACTTAATAAATCATTAAGTTTGTTAAGTATATTAAGTTTAATAACTTATTAAGTTTATAAGTTATTAAGTTTATTAAGTTTATGAAGTTTAATAATTTTATTAAGTTTAATAAATTTTTTAAGTTTAACAAAAAATATTAAGTTTATTAAGTTTATTAATTTTATTAAATTTTAAAAAATATTATGTTTATTAAGTTTATTAATTTTATTAACTTTAATAATTAAAATCAACTAAGTTTATTAAGTTTCATAAATTACGGATTGACCCCATTAACTTAGCTTAAGAACAATTAAATCCGATTGTGATGTTGCCACCATAATATCATTTACTTCGTACATGTGGCATGTATTAACATATACTTCGTGTAGTTCTTGACACATTTTTATACATTAGATGGTTTCCACCATATTAGTGTAAATTTCGTGTAGCTGAGAAATTTTTTTCCTTCATTTTCCAGTGAAATCATAGTATAAAATTTCTAAAGGATAAATTAATATAGCTAAATTATAGAACATGTTTAGGTGAAAATTTTGTAAATTAAAGCCAAGTTATAAACTTCTAATTAAACTTGTAACTGAATAAAAGTAAATGGTTGCATAATTTGGTTAAAATGTATAAAAAAGTCAGTGGATAAAATAGCATATTGTTATAAATATGTGGTGTTTATGTGCATTTGTTTTTTGATAACTTTATAATGTGAATTAGTGAATCAGTTAGGATTATGTACTCTATCTATATAAATATGTTAACTAAAAGATTTAAGAAAAGTGTATTTATAGAAATATACGATAACATTAATAATTTTATAAATGAGATAAACACAAAGATGATTATCCATTACTTATTATATTTGTCTTCTTCTTGGTTAAGTTACAGATTGATCGACTCTTAGTTCCTATAAATAAGTGGTCGATCATTTTGTAACAACATAAACGATATATGATTCGAGGGTGATTGGTTGAGATGTACCTGTAAAGATTTTATTATAAAAGTTTTTATGTATAATTTTTTGATGTAGTTGTATCAAATATAGTTATAAGAATTAAATAAAAAATAATAAAAATGAAAAAATGAAAAAATATTCTTACATCAATATTTTTTCTCTACAGAAAATAAAATAGTGCTTTAGAAAAAAGAGTGCTACAATTTTTTTTAATTTTTTTGACTTTAATTTTAAAAACTAAATAAAACATGATTGGTAATTTTTATAGTTATAGATAGAAATTAAATCTAAAATCACGAGATACAATTCAACCAATCACCCTGATAATTTTCGCTTTCTCTCTCATTTGATTCATACACCAAACGTATATAAATATACTTTTTATATAAATATTTTTTTGCTCAAGAATAAATTCATAAGACGTTATCAGCGCGAACGCTCTCAGACCAGTGAAATAAGTTTTTTTAGTTTATTTCTTTTAATCTATGTAATTTATTAATTTTATTATTGTTCTAAAGTGATACACTATGTCTTCTCCATTATTTTTTTCGGGATAATGGACGTTGCTTTGGCCGGCTGATTGTTATGATAAGCTATGCCTTAACGATCAGAAGAACACATGGTAGACTTTACCTCAGTAAATAAAAGAAAATATCAAAAATGATAAACTAAGTCTCCTCAGACATTGGAAAATAAATGAAAGATCAATATAGAAGACTATGTTTCCTCAGAACTTGAAAAATGAGCAATATGGTAAACTATATTTCCTCGGATAATATGAAAGTCTAAGCCTCCAATTTTATTTATGTCATTTAAATTTATGCCTGTAATTTCCTTTAATTTTTACATTTAAATTATGCATTTAAATTCATGTCTTTATTATAGTTTTATATATGTTGTTATATGAATATGGTTATCATGTCGAATTTGGAAAAGATCAAAACAAATACCCTTAATACTACGAGACATAATTATATGACTTGGGTATTGGGTGTAAAGATACACCTGAGAGAAAATGAGCTTTTGGAAATTATCGATAGACTGAAAACCTATATCGGATAAGAAAAAGATAAGACTATGGTATTTTACACCATTTGAATGATGGTTCACAAGATAAAATATTCATGAAAAAAAATCTTAAAGATCTTTTAATAATTAAATCCTTGAACGAAAGGATTCACAAAAGAGTTGGAGTTGATATAAATCCTCCATATAAATTGGAAAAAAAGGAAAAAAAAATCAAGATAATAAACTATCATGTCATCATAATATGAAAAGACGAGGGTGTAAACATAATAGAAATTGTGGTCGGAAAAGGAAGAGGAAGAAGATTTCGTCCCTATAAAAAAGAGAAAAAAAGATTTCCACAGAAATGAAAGTGATCGGATGATAAAAGGCAAACGGAAAAGGTATGTAGTTGTCGTACGTCAAAATATATAGCCTATAAGTATTGAGAATCAAAAAGAAAAAAGAGAAATAAAGTACATTAAACTTTATCTCTTATGAATCCGGACTATATTTTCATTGATTGAATTCCCATCTTGATATTTCAGATTCTTCCGTTTGTTCCAGAAAAGAAAAAGAAAAATATCTGTGCGGCATGAGAATTATATTTTTGTAGAGGATAAAATTTATTATTTTATCAATGCAAATTTTGTGAAAGTTGAATGCAAGATTTTAAGTTTTAGGATGAAGGTATATATTTGAAAATGCTTCATCGATTATTAAAGGTATGAAATATCTCTCTTTCCTTAGAATAAATATTATATCTTGTAATATAAAAAATATTATTTGTTCTAGAAGAGTTTAGATGGAACGACATTCATAAGACAAAAAATGGCAAATGTATATAAGATAATAAACCTCAAGTTTACTAATATATAGTCATCTAATCCAATAATGTTATGACATTATTGTGAAATGCTGAAAAACCTAAAGTTTTTCATATAGTATATCTTAAAGAAAATAAAGAAAACCATTATGAAAGATGAATCATCAAAAAAATTCATTAGATATGATATTTTTAAACAGACCCAAATCATGATCTCACTCTAAAAGGATTTGAAACATAAAGATGACTGACTATCCATTATTACTTATTATACTAGGATAAGACCCGCGCCTTGCGCGGGACGAAGCTATTATTTTTATTATGTTTTTAAAAATGAAACAATAGTTCGGTTTCATTTAGATTAGAGGTGTTCAATCCGGATATCGGGTTTCGGTTCGGCTCGATTTTTTGGTATTTCGATCATTAAAATATAACTACTATTCTAAATCTATATGTACTTCAATTTGATTTGGTTTATATACCATCGGTTTTCAGTTTATTCAATTTTATACCAAAAACATAATTATTTAGTTTGAGATCATATTATATATTATACAAATATATAATATGATCATATTTAGAGTCATATTGTCACAGAGTCATTTCTTAAAAAA